ACTATAATAAATATATAAGGAAAATAACTAATAAAATTTGACTAATAAAAATTAACTAATAAAAATTTAAAATGTGCCAATAATATTTAACTAATAAAATATAAAAATACTAATAAAATTTCACTATATTACACTATAAAAAAGACAATCTACATTGCCTATTTTTGGTAATATATCTGACTAGATTTAATCAATTCTAATCGTTACTAATTACTAAACAATTAAATATTACAAAAAAAATTTATTATATTAATCTAATGTCAAATCTTTTTTATTTTATAAATCTTTATTAATATTAACAAAAATATTAGCTAGCTCATTATATAATAAAATCATAGATAGTTGAAGTCTTTTAGACAATTTGTACCAAGGCAAAATAAATTTACAAGATTAATAAAAAATAAATTTTTTACAATTCAAAACAGAATTCTACAACAAACAAAAAATTTGGCAAGTGCTCGATAACAAAATTTTGTTTTAACAAAATTAATTGTTGATGATTCATAATAAGTATTCATTGTTAATTGATTAAAATATTGTTTAACTTTTTTTTGTTTATTTAATGCACTTGGTAAATGATTTATTAAAACTTTTATATATTTAGCTTTAAATTGAGCTGATATTTTTTTGCAATATATTGCAATATGATTTTCTAAATCTCTTACTTTAGCTTGTTTCTATAATTGAAAACTGTCCACCAGTATATCCAGATTTAGCTGTTTTAAAATGTTTCCAGATTGGTTTTTTTTTTTGTTATCCTGCTTAGTTTTATTATAATCATTTTTTGCATAATTTTTAACTAGTTTATTTTTATTTAGTTCTTTAGGGTTTTTAACTTGTTCAAGCTCTTCAAGTTCTTCAGATTTACTATATTTGTCAAATTTATTAGATTCATTATATTCATTAGATTTATTAAATTTATTAGGCTCTTTAAGTTCTTTAATAACCAAAATTTTTTAAACTAGAGATTATTTTATTATATATTTTGTAAAATAATATTGATGTATTTAAAAGTTAATTAGTATTATATATATATTATAATGAATTAATTTTATAATCTTACACTTTTAATGTAATTAATTATCTAACTAAATTAGTATCATAATTGTTAAAACCCTCAAAGAAGGCAGTATATATATAAATATAAGGCTAATATGATAGTATAATGTCTCTGATATCATAAAGTAAGTTTTAAAATATATTCTTTTTTATATTAATCAAAATATATAAAGTTGAAATATTTATTCTAATAAACAAAAAACCTTATTCTCATAATAATGTAATGATATTTTCTTCTTAATCTCACTATTATTAAGTTATCTTATTATTATATATTGTTATAAAGTAACATCTATTCATAATAGATACAGTTAAATATTCTTAAATAAACTTATAAAAACTAAACTTTTAACAGTTTGTATTTAAAAATAATAAAAAAATTATATTTAGAAGATTTTAGTATAAATAGAAATAGACAAGTCCAACCCAGTTTGTCTAGTTTTAAAAAGACTGATCCATTAATTTTTTTAGTCTAGTCTCAGTCCTAATAAGGGCTCTGATATTTATTACCTAATATTTATTTACTATAGAGCTCTACCCCTCCCTCCCAGTTAATATTTTTATTAACTAATTAAATTTTAATATTATATTGAGGTAAGGTTTGGCTTTACCCCTATTCTCTAAAATATTACTTAATAAATGTTAGCACCCTAAGGGCTGTGACAGATATTACGTAATATCTATTTACTATAAAGATATCCCCTCCCTCTATGTAAGATGATAACTCTGATTGGTCGACAAAATAAATATAATACAAATCTGTAAAGATATATAACCTTAGCAAATTTTATGATATCTCATGATTCAGTAATCAAAACTCAATGATTTTAGTACCATTCGATCTGTCTCAATGAGATGGATCAAATGGTACTAAAATCATCAAGTTTTAATCACTAGATCACGAGATAATTACATTTAAATAATTTTTATAAATATCTAAATAACTTGTCAACCAGTAATCCAAATTTAACGATTTTGGTACTATTCGATTTCTCTCAATGAGATGATTCGAATAGTACTAAAATAATTAAAATTAAATCACTAGTTTATGAGATATTCACAAAAAATATTTTGTGATACAGTTTTATATATTTACAAAGAAATTTAGTTCTTTAAAGAACTGCGTTGCAAATAGTTATTTGTGAATATCTCATGAACTAGTGATTTAATTTTAACAATTTTGGTACTATTTGAATAGTCTCATCAAGAGAAATCGAATGGTAACAAGATCATTAAATTTGGACTATTGGTTGACAAGTTATTTAGATATTTATAAAAATTATTTAAATATAATTATCTCATGATTTAGTAGTCAAAACTCGATAATTTTTGGTACCATTTGATCTGTCTCATTGAGACAA